CCCTTAATCCTTAGTTGAACCCTCAATTGTAGACCCTAATAAAGTTTTATAACCAAGGCTTTAGACCCCAACTCGGAACCCTAACTCTTGTTTGAAACCCTAACTCTCATTTCAAACCTTAAATGGAAACTCTAACCATTGTTTAAACTGTAATTTGGCAAATCCAGATTAAAAAAAAAAAGAAGAATAAAGTGAAACCCAAACAGTGCCTTTAAACCCTCAATTGAAATCCTCATCATGTCTCGAAAGCTACTTTGAAACGCTCACGCCGGCTTCAAACCCAAACTCGAAGCCGTAACCCTGTCTTCAAAAAAAATCTAATTTTCAACGCGTGTCAAAACTCATTTGAAACCCTAACCTCTTCCCCCGAGCCCCATTTGAATCCCGCTCCGCAATAAAGCCTGAGCCTGCGCTTCGCAATTACCTCCCACCAACTTGTCGCATGCTCTCGACAGAGAAAAAGCGCATTGTCTCTCGGCATCGCCTCTCCGCCGTCAGGTTGCTCCCTTGAGCGCGTGATAAAATTATGAAGCGGCTTTTCCTTGCAATGATCGCGACGCGGAGACTCGGCTGATCTCTTTCAACTTCCCCCTCCCCTGAAACGCTTCACATGCCGGCCGCCAGCTGCCGCGCGCCACTTAATGTCCTCCGGCAGGTTTTGATGGAGTTGCACGCAGAGGCACACATCAACACAGTGCCTTGTTTTAGTTGGATTTAGGGAGTGGAGCGAGGGGTGGGGGGCATCATAAATCTCTGTAGACCTTGTTATGACATCGCACGTTGACCATTTTGATTTTTTTTTTTAAGGAAATCCAAAACCTTTGGAACACGTCTGATGGTGCACCCCCCCCAAAAAAAGACAGTCATCGTATTTTATCACCTAAGAACATCCAAAGTAGTTACTGTCAGCAAATGTATAGATACTAAATGAAGGATGGAGACCACCACCATCAAAAGCGCTCCATTGTTCCCCCTTTTATCTCCTCCTGTTTCTCCACATGGAGTTTATTTCCCCATTTAGAGCTAATAGCATTCTGATGGGCACTGGTGAAATTTTCTGCATGGGCAAAATTAATCACCCACGTGTCAGGCTCCCCACCGCAGACGAACGATCGGTGGGATTTATATGCGAAATAATGCGACAGAAAGTTAGCCGCCAGTTGGTTTTGGTTTCGGCTGTGATTAAGGACGTAAATAAGCACAGCGAGGTCAGGCTCATAACTGCGCTTTTGGGGAATTGTGACGACGCAGCGCGCTGCCGCTCATGATCACCGCCGCTAATGACTAGCTGTAATGACTAATGCTAATGATTAGTGCTACTGTTCAGGCATCCGTTCTTGTTAAATTACTGATTGAGGGGGCCGGGGGGCGTGGGAGTCTCAGCAGGCCGGTGTTCCCAATTTGAACAGAAAATCAAGTTTTAAACACTTCAAGTCGAGAAGAGCAAAAACAGCGAACAGGCAACGCTAGGCAGCAAACACGGCATCATATAGAGTTAGCTTTTGCCTGCTAACAAAACCACAGTGTGCTGTAGTACGTAGTTAGCTTTAGCCAGCTAGCACTTGAGCATTTTACATACAATTAACATTGGTCAGCGACGACCACAACCACGCTTCACCCTTAATTTGCCTATTTGTCAGAAACATAATGTTAGCGTTAGGCAGCTAACGTGACTGAAGTGCTTCATTGTACAATGGCTTAGCTTTAACCGCCAAACCTGACCACCGCATACTTTTACTTTACATACACAGCGTCATTTGAATTTAGACTTCTCTCACACTCTGTCAACACCAGCACACAGAATTCTTTGAACAGTCGATTTAATGGAAGCGCAGCCTGTTAGCCTCAAGGCACCTCACAGATCTTGGCCCTGGGCACTTCTAATCTGTTTATTTTCTCTCAACACACCGCAGTGGTGCGCAGGTGACTGAGCCCTGGAGGGGCCCGCCTTGGTTGCACCTCGAACGCTCGAAAATGAACGTGCCCGGCAGCCAAAGTGGTAATTACGCTCTCATCTGGCCCTCCGTCACGCCATCTTGCTGTTTTTCGCTCGCCCTTCCCTCTTTCCGCCTCTAAGTGCCTTTCTAAGAGTGAGGAAGCCTCAAGTTTGATCTTCGCCGCATGAATAATGTATGCGGCCGCGCCAATGTTTATCTTCTGGGCCCTCCAAAGACTTGCGTGAAGCTCGTTAGGGATGAGACGGAGGTGCGTGGAGAGGAGCCAAAAACGCCACCAGGAAGAGAAATGAATCACCGTGTTTGAAAAGAGACATATTTCATGCCAAAGTGTAGAGCAGCGGCAGGCAAAGTTTTCCGCTCAGGGCCCTTGTTTGATTTTTTTTTTTTTTTTTTAACTGATAGGCCAGGTTAAAAAAAAGAAAAACAATGTGAATTTTTAAAGATATTTGTTTTATCCTGATTTCATTTATTAATGTATTTATTTTTAGAACCATTTATTCTCAATTTTCTTTTTATGATTTTTTTTTACTTTTATTTCCTTATACATGATTTAATAACATTTTAATGTTAGTATTAGATTTATTTTGTCTGCAATATTGAGAAATAAATTAATCACAAGCTATAAAAACATTTAAACCGTGTGATTAGTGTTTAAAATAAATTATCATTGGACCTCTTGACCATGAAAGTTCACAGTGGGCCGGAATAAAGAACGGAGTGGGTAGCAAATGGTCCCTCCGGCCATATTCCCCCCCCCCCCTGTTGAAAACTGTTTAGAGAATAAATATGTTAAGCCTCTTGGTATCAATTAGAGCACAACTTCTCATTAAAAAGTCCCCTAGCGCAACTCCCCGAGGGCTTTCTGCGTGCACGAGAGACAGTCGAGTAGGAAGCAGCGTGTCTTCTGAGCTAGACGTCAGCAGAATAATCCAGTGGAAAAGGCACCGCGGGGTGCCGCCGACTTAACGACATGGAAACAATAAAAGAAAGGGTCCCACGCAACTTAGCACAATTTCACACCGGCTCTATTTCAATGTTTTGAAGATGTGTTATGGATTTATTTTTTTACCCCCCCTCACAGTTTAAGAGTTTCCAGGTGTGTGAACATCAACAACTGAATAGAGAAATCAAGCTTGTGCAGCTAATCTCCGGCAAAACAAACAAAAAACAACAATGCAGCTCTGCTTACCTTTTTGACTTGGATATGAAAGTGTTTGACGCAGTGTGGTCTTGACTATAAAAGTGGTACATTATCACTTAGCCAAACTGTCAAATCAGGGTTCTGGATTCTACTTTGAAAAGAAAAAGCCGACATTCACCTGACGATTCCTTTCGGGATGAACAAAATCTCCAGCAACATAATCTTAATCCCTCACGGTTGTCTTTCTTGACCAAAAATGTTGTTCGGTAACGTGTACTTCCTCAAGAAAAATTCACGTCGGATTTTTAAGTTGCGTATTTTTTTTCACACCTGTCTTTCCTAAATCCATCTTGTCAGTTGTAAGCCCCGCGACAGCTGCTGCTCAGTTTGATAGGCGAATGTCCTCACGTTGCCCGTTTAAGGACATGCCGACGACGGGTGTGTACTTCCAAGATGGCCGTGCGCAAAACTGAAATTGACTATTTGGTGCTTTTTTTCTCTTCGTATTGTTGAGGAGAGTCAGCTTTTCGTTTCTTTCTGGCTCTCCTTGGACACAGGTTCTTTTATCTCTCTATAAAGTGGAAGAAGACCCAACACCACGTCGTCTTTCTCTTCAGTTTATCACAACCCAACACGAATCGATTCGGGCTCCTGTGAGTCTCAGATTTCATCAGGAAGCCCCGAAAAAATACAGTCTCACGTATATATAGGCATAGTATGTTAATTATATTAATGAGGGGCGGGCAGTCCTTCCCCTTATGTAAAAATCAGAGACAAAGAAAGGTCAACATAGTTCAATCCTTACTTGGTTACAAATTCCAGACCACTTCAGCTGTGCATTAACCATGAGTTATAGGGATCCCTGCCCCAGTGAACTGGAACTTTATAGCCCTGAAGAACTTCACAAAGATGGAGGACCTGGGGAGAAGGCCTCTTTTGGGGGTTATTAAACTGACCCGGGGTCAAAGGGGAGGAATGCATAACCCTACCCGTATTTTGAGTGCTTCGGCAGATGTGCAGGACACGGATTAGTTTCAATAGTCCTCATGGTAAGACGTAATTCCTCAACAGATTATATAGCAACAATATGATAAGGAGAGGCGGGGAGGTACGTCTCTCATGCAATTCCCGGAAACAGAAAAAGTAACATAACATCTGACCCAGTGTGGCTGGAAGACGTTTGGAGTGGTGGGGTGAGACCAAACCACCACGACCCACCATTTGGTGTGATAGCAAGTTCCAGAACCCCCGCTGTGTATACATCCTGAGACAAGAGGCTTCCCAAGGGGGCTTAACAGCGGTCAGGGACTGACCGAAGGCACGGGGTAACAACAAAAGACACTTATGGGTCTGTTAATCAACCAAGCAGGAAGAAGATAAACTTTAACACTACATACGTTGTTTTAAGTGTGCAAACAGATCTTCAGGAAAGAGACTGAGGTCAATAGTACTCATAGTAAAACGCAGTCCCTCAATAGCTGCAACACAGATACTTGAGATAACAGTTCCTCTTTTGATGTTGACATGTCCTCTGGAGAGGTCATAAAAGTAGTGGGGGTGAGGGGTTACCAAAGGTGATTGTAATCACAGTAAGAAGGAAATACCTTCAACAGCATTCTACATTGTTTCTTTCAAATCCAGCTAACAGAGAGAAATCATGTCTTAACAGTATCATATGACTGTCACGTCAATTGATTTTGCTCAACTTGTGTCGAATCTGGTGTCGATAAAAAAAAATAATAATCATGGGGTCCGAGCAAAAAGTCATCCCACATTTTTTGTGTCATTGCAGTTGTCCTTAGCCATGATCAGTCGCAGTCAATACGGAAGTGGTGTGTGAGAAAGTTTCAAACCCGGTCGAAAATTCATCCCTTCTTGTTTGTATCGTTTCCCCCTTGCAGCTTCACTCCAACTCGGACAAAGGCGACGGAACGGTGCGCTACATTCTGAGCGGCGAGGGCGCCGGGACCATCTTTCTGATCAACGAGGTCACGGGGGATATCCATGCCACCAGGAGCCTCGACCGGGAGAAGAAGTCGCACTACGTGCTGCACGCGCAGGCCTTGGACCGCCACACGGAGGAGGCGCTGGAACCAAAGTCGGAATTCATCATCAAAGTCCAGGACATCAACGACAACGCGCCGCAGTTTCCCGACGGACCCTTTGTCGCCACCGTCCCGGAAATGTCTGACGTGGGTAAGTCAACGGAAACTCTTGCGTTGTGTGTTGTCTCATGAACACCCAAGTTTTAGCCAAGCAAGTCCCGAGTCTTGAAACCGGCAACTTGGAGCGAGTCCAACTCCGGTGAAATCATTCACCCACCTGTGGTTGTCGATGCTTCCACTTCGTTTTTACAGCCCAAAGCTGATGTGGGATATAATTAGCCGGCCGCTCCTTTCACTCTTACAGCTTTTCTCTTACGGGGAGGGCCTTTGGGAAGCACTCTACCCGAAGCGAAGGAAGTCCAAGAAAAGCTTCCCTGCACCTTGCATGCATCGTGTGGCAAGCGCATCAATTTTTTAGACTTCTTTTGTTCTTTCGAGGCGACCGACAAAAGAGGTCCTCTTCTCGGTCCAGCGGCTTCATCACCTCACATTGAATGTTGAAAAAAAATGACAAAAGCAGCATCGAAATACGCGGCAGGGAATGTGCCAATCGTTCATCCATCTATGTCGCAACAGATTTGTGACAGGAGAAATGGGATGCACCCGACACTGGCCACTAGCAACATTTCACAGTTTCAGTTTTTTTGTTTTTTATTTTTATTTTTTTTACCCAAAGTGGAACAATATTTTTGAATGTCTCTGTAGAGAGAAGGAATTGAATAATGGAGGCGGTAACATGAACCAGTCTGTTTTTGTTTGTTTTTAAATAAGTATTTCAGTTGTGCGTCGGCGGCATCCTGTCAATGCATCCTCCAGACGAGACTTTTTTTTTTTTTTTTTTGTTCTGTGTCGATGACCCTCTAAATCCTCCTCCTCTCCCTCTACGCGGCATAGCAAGTTTTTGTGCTCTCAATGCAGCCATGCTTAAAAATAAATAAATAAATAGATAGATAAAATGTCCTTGAAGCACTCTGACGGCAGTTCTGTTGAAGTGTATTTTAATGGAAAGTCCTTGTGGGGCCTTTTTGATGACAGCAATACCGTTTATTGTCATTTTGTTACATGAAGACCACAGTAACTTCAATGTTCTGCAAATGGAATGATTGTATTGAAGAATTGTTGGCAGAGGACACAACCTTGAGGCACACCGTTTTTTTTTTTTTTTTCTCCCCCCGCAAATAACTCAATCAGGGGATCACGATATTCAAATGCACCGAGGTACCTAACGGTGGGGTCGGCGACTTATCTTCCCGCTCCAAGTTGCATGGTAAAAATAAAGCCGTGTGGAGCAAATGTCCGTTAATTATGCAAACATCACCATAGCCGCAGGCGCCCTCTTAATATACAGTCGATACGTGCCAGCTCGCTCTCATGTGTATGCATGTAGACATCGGCAAGGAGCACACGGGCGACAGCAACTCCCGTGTAAACTCAGTGCAAGAAGAAAAAAAAAATGCTACGATGGCTGTTTTCACATGAAATCCGTTTCCTGACATCGACAAACAAACCGCAATTTAAACATCAATAACGGATCCGTTAAGTTGTGCAAAGAGGAAGAGAAATCTCATTTCTCTGTTTGGCCACACGCTCTGTCCTTGATCCTCGCTCTCCCCCCTTGACATTAGCGCCTCCCACCAGAGATCCGCTAGAGGAGAGGAACCAAAGAACTATTCAAGACTTGCATTGCGCAGAATCCTTACGCCAGGGCAACAAAGTCATAAAACAGACATTTATATTTCCTCCTGTTAACATCTTGTTGACAACCTATTTAGCGCTTGGTTACTTCCTGTTCACGTTCTGTTTGCGTCTTTGTTTTGTTCCGCTTCTTTTTGAGCTTCTCGTTCGATTTCTGTTGACTTCCCGGTGCCGTGAGAGAGGCTAGACAGTTCACGCTAGGTACAGTAACTGAAGCGAAGGCAGCCTGATGATGACACAAGGGAGGAAATCAAAAGGCCGTGAAGGAGGGGGAAGATAATTAGCTCCTTCTTCCCGCCCAATGCTAATCTCCATGAAAGTTGCTGCTTCTTAATCGCGCGTCTCAAATGCCTCTCAAACAGTTGTCGGAAGATGTAGATGTCCTGGCGTTGCCCTCACGTGAGCGTGCTTGGGTCGTTAGAAAATGGCCCCTTCGGCCGGGATACAAAACGCAGGGAATGGGGAGCTTTTAGTGCTTAGCTAAATGAAAGCCTGGGCGAAGAAAGCGGACGAAGATGCTGAAATGACTCCGGGAGGGAAACAACTAAGGGAAGATTGATGAGTGACAGTTGTATTCGACTTTCAAGTACAACACACGTCTTGATTTGGGTATCTCATTTTAGTCTTCAAAGAAGCGTTCATGTAGTGTTGGAAGTACTACCCCCCCCCCCCCAAAAAAAAAAACTGAGATTCAAAAGTGCTTCCCTGTCTTTCGCGATGGTGCCTTGTGTACATGTTTAGGAGTTCATATTTCCACAAATGAAAGGCTGCACTTTGCTTGCGGGGTCCTGTCTTCTTAATGTAGAAGATAAAATATGAGGTCATGAATAAATATGACCATCACAAAAAAAAATACAAACACTGCAGGCAAAACCAAACACTGGTATCGGCACATTTCGGGAACGGCGTTGCGCTCTGAACGGTGTCACATGATCCTTGCCCCATGTAATTATACGCCGATGGATTAATGGAGCCTGTAATGCTCCCCGAGACGCAGTCCGAGTGTTAAATGGGTGCACAATGACTTGCAGGCACACCGCGCAATGACTGTAAATAAAACCACCAGCAGGCAGCCATCGTTCGTTGTCTTTGGAAGGGAGACGAAGAACAGAATAATGAGAGCTCCATCGCTTCAAGTGATGGTCAATGCCCTGGGGAAGGGGGCGGGGGAACCACCACCACCACCAGTGGCAAAAATGAACCAAGTACAAATATAATGTAATGTAATGTGGAAAAAGGATCAATTTTGGAGTTAAAAGCATTCCACTTGTGTGCGGCATCACAGCAAAATGACGCTTCACCATGTCTGCTTTGAAGCCTCCGTCGAGAGTGGTCAAGTCAATCAACGATTGTAATGTTGATTGGTTGATCTCTGGAGAACGTTATAAGACAGGAAAAAAAAAGTGACATGGAGGGCCGTGAAAAGAGAGTTCTCACGATGATGCAACTGATTTGGAAAAGCAAGATATTCCCCATTCATGGCCTTTTTTTCAGAGAAATGTTTGGTGTTGTCGACTCCAAGAATGTTTCGTGGCAAATGCATTTCTGCTAACAATTTCTCTGGAAGGTGTACTTTTTCAGCCCCTTTTTTGGCGGGAGCGGGGGGGGGGGTAGTCACTTTAAAGTAGCAAAGCTAGCAAAGGCGTTGCCGCTTTGCCTGGGGCGCAATCATGACAAATTGTGACTTTCAGAGACATTTTGTGCTCGGGCGCTTTCTGATTCCAGCGTGATTTTGAATGATGGCAGACACACAAAAAGGCAGAATAAAGATTCCAAATCGAGTTCTTGACCTGCCAATCGAGTCATCGCTCCTGGAAGCGTAGCGGAAGACAATTTATGACTGATTTGTAGTGTCACATATTCAGTGCAGCTAGCTTTGACATCAATAATTCGTTTTGACAGTTCTTGGTGACACACCAGCTTCATAAATGTGACTTTTTGTTTTTAATCGATATTTTTGTATTGAGACATATGAAAGCACACATTTAAAAATAACTTAGTATTTTTTCTTTTTTTCTTTTTTTTTAGGTACATCGGTGCTGCAAATCACGGCCACCGACGCCGACGACCCCACGTACGGAAACAGCGCCCGCATCGTCTATAGCATCCTACAAGGACAGCCATATTTCTCCGTGGACCCCAAAACAGGTGCACTATACCTCAAGTAGAGATGTTTGTGTAAAAAAAGAAATATATGTATATATTTAGATTGAAATGCTCACCCCAGTTTGAAACTTGAAGCATGACCCTTCCCAAACGTCTTCATGATTGATGACATTGCTTCACAAGCACATTCATCCCGTTGCTAAAATGAAACGAATTAATGACGATTCGAGAGCAATTGGAGAGGGGGAGAGAAAAAAAAAAAAAAGAAACAAGTGGTGGTTATCCAAATCTACCTGACTTGACTGCACTCCGGAACTCACCTCTCATGTTGCATGACTCGTTTGCATGTGCCGACTCAGCGACTAGTCCGCACCGTTATTCTTGCTCGGGGCGTGAGAGAGGCTGGGCACGCGATGGAAGGCCAGCTGCACATCGCACACACACACACACACACACACACACACACACACACACACACACTGCGTTACACAAGTAGCCTGTTGTTTTCGCCACTGGCCATCCACCCTCATCCCTCAAATTAGCAAGCACGGAACTACGGAAGGATATGCGGAGGAGGAAGTGGCGCTCGCGTGCCACTTTGTGGAGCCTTAGCGCGTGTGACATGGTTCATTTCAGTTGCTTGAGAGCAAACCTCGATCTTGATTTAGTTTGAGCAGAACTTCAATCGGCGGACGCGGTTGTCGAATGGGGCGGAGTCCGGACCGGGCCGCTGGTCATCAGGTTGCGGGCGCAGCACTTTTGGCGGGCTACATGTCAGAAGCGCATCGACTGTGTTCAACCTCGTCTCTTGGAGAACCACTACAGCCCCCCCCCCGGTCTCCCCCCTCCCCCCCAAGGCCTTCCCCATCCTAAATAGGCTAATTTCTCTGCTGATCTGGGATTTGCCAGCGTTCAAGTTTACTGAAGGATCTGACACAGATGGAGGCTGCTGCACTTTGCCTAAAGCCTCAAGCTGTCATGCCATCAATCAGACAACTTTTTTTTTTTTTTCCAAAATGTCAAACTAGACCATTTTTTTTTTTCTTCCGGGATGCCAAACCATGCTCGCTCTCGATTGGGAAAGCCAAAAAGAGAACTTTGATTGCCATCTAGCTTTAGCTGCGAGGGCGCAACACTCGGGGGATAACACAGAATTGGACGGGCCAGGATTTCCCGAAGACGGAGATTGAAGGGCGCGTCGGTAATCTCCTATAATCCTTTTTTGTTCACCCAGGAGATTGTCCTCCTTTAGAAGTTTGCAGCCCGACAAAGAGGTGGATCGCGTGATGGTATCAGCGTTAATAGAGCAGGGAGGTTGGGTAAAAGGCTAACCAACCTCGCCTGTGTCAAATTGGCCCCGATTCAAGGAAGTCGACTCCTTCGCAATTATTTTTCTAAATTAACCCGCGGCCCTCAGCAGAGAGTCGGCGGAAGACTTTGTGGGCGGCATTGTGCTCCGACTGCGAGTTCAGGGGTGCAAAGATCACACTCTCCCCCCCCCTTTTTTTTTTTCTTTTTGCAGCCAACCGCAACAGCGGACGAATGCGTTGTGGCAGAGCGTGAACTGCGGCCAACGAAAGCAAAGGATTGACGCGACGGCCACTTTGCCGCTGCGTTAGTTAATAACAGGCTTTTAGCGCCGTTCACCGCACAAACTGGCGCTCATTCTGTTTCTTGGCATTTCCATTTTTGGGAAGTGAGCACATCAAAACTTTTCCTTGACGCTTTAATTGAAGGTTTTGCTTTGTACTTTGGTGGCCGGAAAAGGTTGCCGAGCGCTTTGAAATGCTTTTTTTTTTTTTTTTTTGCCTCTTTTAAGTGTCTGATTAAAAAGAAGCAAGGCAGCTCAAGTGAAACTTCATTTGTTACTGCCGCAAATGGTCTCAACGTGTCCAACCTTGCATTTGACCGCAGTTGTTGGTTTTGGTGGCGTTGGACAAGTACGATCATATTGACCAACATTGAAACAAGGCTGAGATTTATTTATTTCAAAATGTCTTGAGATGGATGAAAAATGTATTCGCATAAGGTGCGCTTGCCTCTTTCGTGCGCGGGTTGCTCCAAACGGCGAGTGCGTTTTTGTTTTCATTTGCTGAGCGTTCCGAGCCCCGCCGACTTGGCGACGCGGCAGAAAACGGGGAGCTCACGGGTCACTCGGCTCACAGTTAATTAGGCCTGGGAGACTTCTGGAGTGCACAGCCGCACGATAGTGATAATGTTGGTGAAGAGTGGAATAAATAAAAGAGAAAGGGAATGAGGGTCTTTTGAGCGCCACGCAATGGCTGTTCTTTTTGAAGGCCGTAATGTGGAAAAATGACGTGCTCTTCAGCGAGACGGAGCACAGAATACATTCGCGATTGCGGTTTAAAAAAAAAAAAAAAAAAAAAAAAACAACCTCAAAAGAGAAGCAAGAACGCTATGATCTCACCGATGTTGCCGTTTCAGTCTTTTAGTGAGTCAAATAAACTGCAAAGTGCACTCGAGGAATCCATCCTGCGTGTTGAATATACGCAGCATGACATTAGAAGATTTCTGTATCAAAAAAAAAAAAAATCAATTAAATTGAACTGAAAAGACTAAGTCACTGTTGCCCCCGAGTTCAGCGAGGAAAGACTCCAGCTGTCCTTGACAACGGATGAACGGAAGGATAAAATAGAAAATCGACTTCTATCATCTGCTATCGAAATTCGAGTTTGACGGCAGCAAGGGTGGACCGTCGCGAGTCCGCAAGACGAAAACCGCGTCAAAGAAACCCGAAACAATTCTTAAACAAAATATTTTGTTTTCATATTTTTCAACATCAGGCGTGAGTGCGGCAGAAAGCGTGAATTAAAAGAATGAATGTCAAGACATGTCAATCACGTAGATGAGCGCGACCAAACGGGGGCGGGGCATTAACAGGCGATACGCAGGGCGAGCTCACTTCGCCCCGCTGCCTCCTTGACTCGCTTTTAATGACTCCGCCTCCTGGCCCGGATGCAAGAGGGATTACTTTCCATCGGCGCCGGTCGCGACGCAGGAAGTGAGGTTGAAGTGACCTTTCCTTCCGTCGCTTTTGTAAAGGGGAAATTAAAAGGGGCTTGTCCAGACTTTTGATATGAATAGCATGAATGAAACTGATTAGCCAGGAACCCGGAACGGCTTCAAGTGGGCTCGGTGTCCTCATTTTATGATAGAACAGTTACAAAAAGAGCCATGCTTTGTCCGTGATATTGAATGATAATCTAGCAGGGGTGGTTTACAATGTGGTTCGTGTTCCACTTCTTGCATTGAACAGGTGTACCGAATGACCTGGCCTGTGGTTACGTTAGCGGCCGACCGAGGCTAACGTGCCCCGAACGCTGCTAGGCAACCGTTAGGGGTGTGCTTAAAAACAGTCGCTTGGCGTCAGGGATAGCTTGTTGACACTTTCACGAGGTGGTGGTCTCACTTTTGTTGCCAACTGCTGTTTCGACATGAACGGTTGCGGGTTTTGATTTATTTTGAGGGGGGCAGTAAATTGACACGTGCCATAGAAGCTCAATGTGAGATGTCCAAATGTGAACTTTTATGGTGAAGACATTTATTTCCAAGTCTGAAATGGACATTTGAGGGGAGGGAGGGTGTGAATAATTTTTGTTTTGTTTTGTTTTCGCTATTGGCAGAGAGCCATGTCCCTGTCTTGTCAACCGAATTCGCGGTTACATAAGATTGTGTGCTTTAATTTGCCGCCAAGCCCTCTGGAAGTCCATCGGGTCCTGTCAAACAATCACCGGTGTCAGCAGTGAGGCGAGGGCAACACCACGGCGTTTGCTCCCGGCCGGATCTCGCAGTTCCCGGTCAAGCGTATTATTGCAGGGGGGGGTTCACAAGTTCACCCCTCCCCAAAAAATAAAATAGAATAAACGCGAGTTTGAAGGCTGCTGGATCGGCGCAAGCACGTGGGAAGGGGAACGGTCCGATTTAAACGCTCGGGGGACGGCGGGCGCGAGTGTGAGGACGTTATTACATTTGGTGCCGGTGAATTAAGGCTCTCATTGCGACTCAACGCAATGAGAACACGGGAAGTGCACTTATTGCATGCAGTAAATCAAGGCGGGTTTTGCCTCTTGGTGCCGCTTGGAAGAAGTTGCAGTCCTTTTTTTTTTTTTTTTTTTTTTTTAAGCCGTGCACATTAGTGTATGTTTGAATGTGAGCCAGAGGTAAAAAACAAAAAAAATCCGTCATTCAAGGCTGAGCCATCATTGAACATCTCGAAACATGAGCGAAGCCTCGACAATGAAGGAAGTCGTCTTTCGTTGCAGGGACCATCAGAACTGCCTTAGCGAACATGGACCGGGAAGCCCGGGAACATTACATCGTGGTCATCCAAGCCAAAGACATGGCAGGCCAAGTCGGGGGCCTCTCCGGATCCACCGTCATCAACGTCACGTTGACAGACGTCAACGACAACCCGCCAAAGTTCCCGCAAAGTACGTGTTCGAAAACGGGCGGGTCTGAAGGGAAGTTCTTGTTGTCACATCTAAACTTGCATCCACAGAAAATTACCAGCAGTACGTCCCGGAGTCTGCTCAAGTCGGGAAACCGGTGGGGAAGATTAAAGCCAACGACGAGGACTTGGGCGTCAACGCGGACATCAAGTACAGCATCATTAACTCGGAAGGGGCCAACATGTTTTCGATAGCCACCGACAAGGACACCAAAGAGGGAATCATCACCCTCAGAAAGGTAAATTTCCAATGCGCCGATTACAGTTTTCAAGAAAGAATATTTTATGGATCATCAGAGTCTGAAAGAAGTTTTATTTTGAAAATCAAGTGCATCTTAGTCGGGTCAGAGCAGTCATGCCAAGTAAGGTCACATAAGCTAGCAAAATTTTGTTTGAAAAAGGATTTGAAACGCTTGTTCGGAAAGGGGCAAAGGCCGAATGATGAGACAGAAGAAGAAGGAGACGAGAACGTCCAAGAAAAAGTAAAAATACGGTTTTATCGGGACTGGTGATTCGGGAAGTCGGCTCTCCAATGCACTGAAGACCTTGCTTTTTCCAACATCCTGTTTTTGTGAAGCGGAATTTGTCTGCCATGACGGCAACTGTCCATCAAAATATCGCATGACACGAAACCAGTTCGCTGACCGCCGCCGCGTCAGTAGCGCAAGACTCGTCACCCGAAAATTCTCGACATGAGCGTTAAAATCTTCCCTCTGGTCCCGACAGCCTCTAAACTATGAGAGGAAGAAGACGTACACACTCCACATCGAGGGCACCAACACGCACTCGGATCCTCGTTTTTCCTACCTGGGCTCCTTTAAGGACACGGCCACGCTAAAAATCACCGTTGGCGACGTGGACGAAGCACCTGTCTTCTCTTTGGATTATTATATCATGGACGTGTACGAGAACTCGCCCGGCGGCACGGAAGTGGGCGCCGTCACGGCTCGCGACCCTGACAGCAGGAACAGCCCCGTCAGGTAAGACTTAATACAGCCCGTATTACGAATGCGGCGATAACTACGGTAGCTTTCCCAATCCTTGTAAAGTTCGCTATCTCAACAGAGTTAAGTCTGCTCAAGTCGGGAAACCGGTGGGGAAGATTAAAGCCAACGACGAGGACTTGGGCGTCAACGCGGACATCAAGTACAGCATCATTAACTCGGAAGGGGCCAACATGTTTTCGATAGCCACCGACAAGGACACCAAAGAGGGAATCATCACCCTCAGAAAGGTAAATTTCCAATGCGCCGATTACAGTTTTCAAGAAAGAATATTTTATGGATCATCAGAGTCTGAAAGAAGTTTTATTTTGAAAATCAAGTGCATCTTAGTCGGGTCAGAGCAGTCATGCCAAGTAAGGTCACATAAGCTAGCAAAATTTTGTTTGAAAAAGGATTTGAAACGCTTGTTCGGAAAGGGGCAAAGGCCGAATGATGAGACAGAAGAAGAAGGAGACGAGAACGTCCAAGAAAAAGTAAAAATACGGTTTTATCGGGACTGGTGATTCGGGAAGTCGGCTCTCCAATGCACTGAAGACCTTGCTTTTTCCAACATCCTGTTTTTGTGAAGCGGAATTTGTCTGCCATGACGGCAACTGTCCATCAAAATATCGCATGACACGAAACCAGTTCGCTGACCGCCGCCGCGTCAGTAGCGCAAGACTCGTCACCCGAAAATTCTCGACATGAGCGTTAAAATCTTCCCTCTGGTCCCGACAGCCTCTAAACTATGAGAGGAAGAAGACGTACACACTCCACATCGAGGGCACCAACACGCACTCGGATCCTCGTTTTTCCTACCTGGGCTCCTTTAAGGACACGGCCACGCTAAAAATCACCGTTGGCGACGTGGACGAAGCACCTGTCTTCTCTTTGGATTATTATATCATGGACGTGTACGAGAACTCGCCCGGCGGCACGGAAGTGGGCGCCGTCACGGCTCGCGACCCTGACAGCAGGAACAGCCCCGTCAGGTAAGACTTAATACAGCCCGTATTACGAATGCGGCGATAACTACGGTAGCTTTCCCAATCCTTGTAAAGTTCGCTATCTCAACAGAGTTAAAAAAAAAAAAAATCAATGAATAAAAACTGACTTGTCTCGAACCGTCACCCATGTGGCATGATGTCAAGCCGCAAGCCTCGCAGTTCAAGACGCCTTTTTTTTTTCCCCCTCCATGAATATTCCCGTGAATGATTTCTTTGTTTCCCGGTCGAAAGAACCGCGGGCGGTACAACTGCTTAGCACATTTGTATGCGCTCTAAACTCCAGTTTGTGAGGCGGCGCAAATGGGGAAAGACAGATAGCGGCCCCGAGGCGGTGGACTAATCCGAGGTTTTCACCGTGCACAGGTATCTCGTTCAGTGACACTCGTATAGGCGAGGCGCCCGCAGCGATCGAGCGATGACGTGAAGCCGCTAATGAGACGAAGCGCCGCTCTTGCCGCTACCGGTCGACAGTTGGATCACACTTCGCAGCTTCTTGTTTTTTTTCTTTTTTAAATGAATAATAGACGACTTTGGGTCTTTGTTGCTGTCTGCCATGTTGATTTTGTCAACATCCATTGCTATGACTTGTGACACCAATTGGAACGGTCTGAGTTTTGTTTGCCACCTTCCAAACTGGAATGCTCGGCTCGTTCTCGCGCGCGCCATTGCTGACCGAGTGTTGTGTTCAGGTACTACATGGACAAAAAGGAGTCGGACCATATCTACTTTCGCATCGACGAGATCAGCGGCGTTATCAGGACGACGCAGCCGCTGGACCGCGAGGACACTGCCTGGCATAACATCACCGTGATGGCCTCGGAGGTTGGTAGGTACCCGGCGAGTAAAACGTAGCCCCCCTCTTTTCTAAACTCCCACAAATACAGGCGCTCTGGTTCTTTTTCTGTCGGGTTTCCGAGTGTTGACGCAGCGTGCTGATAACAATCACGCAAGTGGGTAAATATTGCCAATATGAGGTGCTTTCAGCGTGAAATTTACAATTGCGTTTCCCGGGGATAAGGTCGGATCATTTACATTTTGAATCGGGCGTATTCAAATCAGATCCGGCGCACTCCTCCTTATAATTGACTAGCAAAATCAAATTAGTCCCAATTGTTCAATGTCCTTTCATACAGGAACAATTAATTAAATTAAAGCAGGCCCCCGCTAACTTTAGCTATCAGGTAACTTGGCTAATTTGTAATCACAATTAGGCAAATCCCCTGCCAAGCAACAGCGCCACCGCATGCTAATGCGCCATTATCTGGGCCGTCTCTCATTTGCATGCGGCCGAGCGCCTCCTGTTCAATAAAAGCAAGCCTTTGAGTGGGCAAGGACGCCCGGAGTCACGCATAAAAGACCGGCAGGCAAAGAATCGAGTGAGTGAAAAATCATCAAGAAAAATGTGTCATACAACCCTCAGGTGCAAACCTCTTGCAGGCACTAATACAAATACAACAGCGGCTGCGTGAGCTTTTTTTTTTTTTTTTTTTTTTTTTAACCCTTTCAGGGACAGTGATTATACGACAGTGGACGTCTTATCATGTTATCAGGTTACAGTGTGCATGAAAGGGTGAATTAAAAAGAAAAACTTCAAGTTGCACCGCGACCAACACTCCGGTGAAAAAGTGAGCGATGTTTTAGAAAGAAGCTGTTTTCTTCGCTTTGGCCTTCACATTGCGTATTCTCCTGAATGTCTATCCAATCTCAAAGCCAAGCCATTGTCAGAATTGAATATGACGAAAAGAACCTACTTGGCCATTTCCAACTCATGTTGTGTCGACAAAGCTTTCATAGTTTATCTCACCCTTGAGAATGGCTTGATTTTTTTTTTTTTTTTGAAAAGCAGACATGTGAAGAAATAATTTTTTTTAAACGCTAGTTTTAAAGCGGCGTCAAAAGCGGAAATGTCAACCCGCGTTTAATCTACATTTGATTGCCATCCCGTTTGATTTAATTCCGGGAGATTATATTCAATCTGTCACTAGGAAATTGTTTTGTGACTGAGTGGGATTAGTAGATAGAAACATTTAACATGAAGAATCCCATTTCTGGTTCGAAAAAGCGCTCGTGGGGGTGGGGTGGGGGTGGGGGTTGTAAATTGCTTGGAATGGAGCTGGATCGTGATTCCGAAATAGATGTGCCAGAAAGTCAGACATAGTAAAGGTGATCATTGAAGGACTGGTTCATTAGCTTTCCCGGAGGCTACAAGCAGGCTAGCCGTTAGCTTTTGCTAAATTAGCCCGATGAAACACAACCCAAGCAAACATTTAGGCATGCCGTACCTGCGAGAAATTGCCTGCAACGCGCCCGCTGAATGGATGTTCGGTTCCCAAGCTTGTCCAATTTCGTCGGTTTACCTTCCCGCCACCCAGAAATATCATGGCCGCCTATTGTTGACAAACATTATGAAAGGTTTATAAAGAGTGAAAGTCAGCGTGTGAGGTCTACCGGCAGCCGGACCAGAAAAGCCGAGAGCGGTCGGCGCGCTAAGAATTACACGGCTGACCTTTTTAAGGCTTTGATATTTGTACACCCATGTGTCTCGCCAGACAACCCCGGCCTCCTCAGTTACATCCCGGTCACCGTGCAGGTGCTGGACGTCAATGACAACGCGCCGCAAGTGGCCGCCGCCGACGAGGAGGTCATCGTGTGCGAGAGCACGAGGGCTGGACAGGTGGGTGGCGGCGCAGGCCTCAGTCTTGTTGCTGCGGCAGAGCAGTCAGGTTTTTTTTTTTTTTGCATTTGCATGAAAATCCTCTCTTCATTGTTTTATTAATTTTCAAAAGCTGACATCTTTGGGGTGTTTTTTTTCTGTGTGTTAGCTTCAAAAAAAACAAAGTAATGAGCCACTTGTTTGTTTTACAATTGCCATTCAAAATGGAAAGAACAAATGACAAATTCTCACAATTGAAGCAGCTCCCAATTTACTCTCACTGCTGTTAGTCATTTTGAATTAAGCAGTACTTTTTTTTTTTTCTTTCTCCCCTCTTCTTTTCCGGAGATAGGGAGCAATCAGTCACACGAAAATGGCTGAGAAGGCCGACTCGCTGCCGGAATAGAAAGACTAAAAAAAGAAAACCTCGTTTCTAATCATTTGAAGCTAGTTGGGGAGAAGTTTGAATTAACGTTTGCGCTAAATGACGCCGCGGCTTTCCTGCGGATTAAGTGTGAGCAATGACATTGTGTTCAAAGCTCGACTGCACACGTTCAAGAAAGCAAGCGGTTTGTATGTTTGCTGTCACGCAATGTGGAACGCTCCCCTGGGTTTATTAAGAAGATAGCTGGCGTCAATTCTTCACAGGCTGCAGCTCAACCTCATTTTATTTGGACGGATATATTAAGTCAACACTCAAAAAGTGCTTGGAGGGGAAAAAAAAAACCCCAATGCTAGCATCGCCATTTTGGCAAAAATGGGAGTGCACTACATGGTTGAGACCAGCGTAGGCAGTCTTGAGTCACTTTAATCACTCTACAACTGCACAAAAACAAAACAAAAAAACTACGATCTCCTCTTTTTTTAAAATGAACAGTCCCTCCGTTAACTTTTTTTTTTCCCCACCAACGAGACTGTTTGCCACGTCGGCCTATAAATCGCATATTGTAAAACTCGCAATTGGACGTAGTGTACTTGGGGGGGTTGGTGAAAGATAAAGCTCAAGAGGAACAAAACCAAGCTCTCACTTGAAGAGAAAAACACTGCTGGCAGCTCGTGTTTCTCCCGAGGCGCCTGTCACCGGTCCCACACTGTCGCCAATTAAAAAGGAACTCAAGTCAGTCCTTCGGGCTGGCCGACACCCGTCGCCATTCTCCGTATTGTTTCAGCTAATGATCTTGTCCCGTGTGCCCAACGTCAGCCCATCCAGACGATCAGCGCCGTGGACAAGGACGACTTTGCCAACGGACAGCGCTTCTCCTTCGCCCTGCCGAGCCAGATGCCGGTTAATCCCAACTTCACCCTGAAGGACAACGAAGGTAATTGAGCCGCGCTGTCGCCTATGTTTGCATTTCTTCTGGCTTCCTACCGCCGGCTTCCGTCAGGGGGGACGGTTGATGTCGGCTTGACATCTGGAGGCCGTGTCAGCAAAATCATGTCGTTTGTCGTCCGCGGCTTTTGGAAAAATTCGTGAATGACAAGTCCAAGTAGTCAGGAAACCAACCGCAAAAAAACAACATAGTGGCTTGGTTGCTGGACGCCCGAGTGTGGGCGCGTGCGGCTGTCGAATGGATTCGAGGCGCTATCGCACTGCGACTCTACCCCGAGCGGCGACATTTATGCGCAGCCGACGGAAGGTGTTACCATGGCGACCATCTGTGGCGAACACCTCGCTTTAGGTGGGACTGCGGCGATCCGAAGGCTTGCGCGCACCCGAGACCGCTTTGGCAGCGGCGTTTGAGTAGTTGGTGCTTTGCTTTAACGTTGTGTATTTTACGTATGTTTGATGACGCTGGTGTCGTTTATTCAGCGATTTGATTTGTCTGTAAAACATTTTTTTAAGTCTGTAAAATTCACTGACTGACAGACAAGAATGTTCTGGTGACAAGTAACAAAAAAAGAAAGAAAAAAAAACAGATATTTGAATTATTTTTCATTGGTATACAGTCTAATAAAAATATATTTAATATTAGTATTCCGATATAATTATTTCCGTAAAAGTTGCACTTTTACATTTCTTTTAGTTTTCTTATTTCATAGATATATTTATTCAAATCCGCATACCTTTAATTTTGAATTATTTTAGTACCATTCCCACTTAGAGCCACAGAGGAGCAGAGATAATTTCACGCAGGGCTGTTTTTTGTTTTTTTAATTTTGATTGTTATATATTATTCAAAAATATATTCAATATTTACATTAATATCAAATCTTTTCTGGTTTTTTTTTTCCTTATTTGAGTGTCAAATTTATTCAAATTCATGTACATTTAATTTTTGGATCATTTGTGTAGTTTTGGAAGACAAGTTATCAACAAATTTGATGTTGTGCTTTTTTTTTTTTTTTTTTAAACAAAAAGAAAAAATAACATGTAAATAAATGGATTCTCAAATGCACTCGCACTTGATGGGCCAAATGTTTCTCTCGAGAACATCAAGACAAAAGTCCCTCTCTGCTTTAGTTTCAGGTGACATTAAAGTGTCGCCCCGCTGTCCTCCGCGGACGTATTACTCGTATGATGCGGGGGGGGGGGGACAGAAATAGCTCTGATGACTTTGCGATTCCCTCCAAGCTAAATCAAATCAAAAGATGAGCGGGTTGGGACGTCGACGGCGTCAGATCGGAAGGGCTGGATGATAAACGTCCGGCCCCGGATGTGCCTGTTTGTCCCCGCGAACGATAAAGAGGCCGCAGTCACCGCAGCTATTTGAGCGCTAATAAAAGCAGCATGATACCATCGGGCGGCAAAGACCCTTGGGAAACTATCAACTCACACCTGCTCACGTTTAAAGACTAGTTCTCGAGTTTTTAATCACATCCAGCAAGAAGAGAGGTCACATTGTGGAAATATTGAGTTCAACTAAAATAGCTGAGATGACCACCTTCCAACCGTCGAGATGACGCGAGCGCGCCCTGATTCTCTCGTAAAAACTCTAAAACTTCCTTCTGACGCTCAGGTTTGAGTCCGAGACTGTGAAAATCGTTTGACGTAAGCCCCGGCCATCAAAAACTTTCACTCTTGCCTCTCGGGAAGAATCTGCCAGAGTGCGGAAAGACGTTAGAAGAAGTTGTTCCCAGGGTGAGATCAATTGTCAGTCAAGGATTTCTCCAACCGGTTTGAAGTCGTCAAGTGTAGGGACCAGACCTTAATCAACAGTTATGTAGTGATCTCTGCTTCGTAGGATTTTTTTTTTTTTTTTTGAAGATGCGGTTCGCCATTTCCCAAATCAAGTCTTGGGAAATCGTGATCCCAAGAGTTTTGATGTCTCTCCACAGTTGACATGAAGCTGTTTGATCATGTGAGGGATGTGCAAGGAAGTCCACTATCATCTCCCCCGGCTTTGAGTTAGTTCAGATCCAAGCTACGCCAGAGAAGCCATCATTCCAAGTCCAAAAAGTTCTTTGAGGCCTGTCTTTGAGTTGTCTGACTCGCGCTTTCTGAGTCCAGTCGAGTTTGTCCAAAGATGTCGAACACCAGCTGCGTTCTTCACGTTAAGCCGCTTCAGCTCCACCGAGCCCACTCGCAGACCGCATCCGCAGTGGCACTAAAAAGAGGCCGTTTGATTTGAGCCCTAAAGTGGTCCGCCACTGCCGCCCCCGTGGATTAGAAGTCCTTTTGCCGTGTCGGCCCGAGCGCCACAATGCGGCACGTCGTCGACAACTGGCGTCTCGTAATTAAAGTAAGCTCCTCTCACACTGCGAGCGGCTTCCTTGCCATCTTTTATGTGGCGGCCGAGCAACAGCGGCTGGCTGCTTAGTGGCAGGCCCTAATAAAAAAAAGCCTCTGTTGTTGTGCGACTGGGAGAAAAAAAAAAAAAATCCCTCACAGTCATTCACACCACTAAATCTCTCATGACCTCCTTTCTGCTTAGTGAGACTCAGACGAGGTGTTTGAGTTTTCTTTCCTTTGCGCTTGTTTGCGCGACTGTCAGCGGGATTATGCGTGCGGACCAATGGGGTGAATTCAATTCAAGTGGGAGCAAGAGCCAAGGACGAGATAGACACGGGGAGGGTTTTTAACACTGCCGGGTGGGTCACAATATTTGCTTGCAGCTGTGTGACGCGCATGGGGGAAAATGCCGAATGGTGTTGTAGCTTGTTGTCTGCAGATGTAATCTTCTACTGGCATAAGGACGATACTGATGATGGACAGAGTATGCAAGAGAGAGGCACACAAAAAAGATGGTGCGCTTAGAATCAAATGTGAGCTCTTATTTTTGCCAGCTGGAACGGAATTCAGAACAGAATTATATACATGAGCATATATCTATCTAGCTAAATCATAGACATGAGCATCTATCTAGCGAGCTAGCTAGCTAGCTAGCTGTCTTATCTATCTATCTATCTATTTAGCTAGCTAGCTAGCCATATAAAAACAGTGTGAAAATACTTCTGCTTATGTTAAACCACTGTTGTAGCTTTATTGAAAAATAGTCACTGGAGGGATAAAAAAAATGTCCCAAAATTTCGCAAGCACATTGCTGAGTTGGCAACATGGACAACTTTTTGACCGCAGAAATAAAATAAAGTTGAGTAAGCGTTACATGTCAGCAGGGACACGCTTTGAACCACGTAAGCTGCAAGAAAAAAAAATCTATTTAGAAAGACAAAACAACAACAAAAAAGTCCTACAGGCTTACAATGATGTATTTTCCAGCATCATGTGGAATAATGAAGTCGGCATATATATTTGTGTTTAAGCAGCTATGCGATTATTTCTGACTGCAGTTCATTTCAGTCACTTTAGCAAAGTTGACTTTTAAGAGGAGCCATTAGTGACGGCGTGCGATTCTCTTAAATGTCAACGTTGCGCTGACAGAACGTCGGCGAAAGCGGGTCAAGCGCTGGCGGCAAATCGACCGTCATTACAACTAAGCGCTTGGTGACTAACTAGCAAAAAAAAAAAAAAAAAAAAAAAAAAGATATGAAAAGAAAAAATAACCTAAAAGAACACTTTCGATATTTTCAACTTAAAGAAAAGAAACTCACAGTCATCTATATGTGCTTAAGTGCGAAGATTAAAATAGAATGTAAACTGCCATTGTATACAATACCCATTTTTAATAACTTGGAGGGCAAATAGTTTTCAATTTTAACTTGCAGAACACTCACTGAACTTGCTTTGCTCCAACAAAAAATGTTCACTTCGCTCACAACAACAAGTCAACATTTTACTCTTGTGCAATTAAAAAAAAAAAAAAAAACAATTTGGACTTTCATTTCGTCAAGCCACAGCTCACGTTGTTACGTTCCAGTTTCCGCCAAAGCTCTACTTTGTTCTTTTTATCTGTCATTTTGTGATGACATTTCCCTTCAGAAGGCGACGAAAGGGGGAGATGATCTTTGAATAACACCCCCCCTCCCCTTCCCCTCCCTTCGCCCATGCATAAATAGATCAATAGATTTCTGGAGCCATCCCTTTGTGTCCCCGCAAGAGGCCGTCTCACATTGCGGCTGATCAGCGGGCGCGCACACAAGAGCTGTCATGGCCATTGACGTGCGGGGCGTTTAATTAGCCTTCGTGTCATTCATACTCGCGGGGGAGTGGGGAGGGGGTGACGTTTTTTAATCTCTCTGTGCAAAAACACATAACTTTTGAAGTTTTAGCTCCACAGAAAAAAAAAATTGTAAATGTAATGCTGATTCACAAAAAGGCATTTGTTCAACACATCTTTGTCAAGGACAGAGCTGTTATGTGATTAGTCTCTGCCGAGCGAATGTGATATTTTTATCCGGCCAACTAAATCGCCCCCCACCCCCTCCACGTCACAGCGTAGGCCGTCGCGTTCCTGCGGCGCTTTAACGTCCGCTTCAGCACATCCTGGAAGGGGAAAAAAAAGTGCTCCGTCCACTTCAGTGAGCTCTGGCCCAGGCAAACATGTCCTGGGACTATATTTTTTTCATTCTTCTCTGTCCAGAGAGAAAGTGTGTTTTTTTGGGGTTTTTTTTAATACCTTGCCATGTGTATGTTTTCGTCCCATGAAAAAAAGTATGTATGGCCCTTTCAGGACTGTTGATCCATGCGAACGTCCAGGACGGTACTGCAAATGCACTGTACGAATGTGAATGTACTGGCCGCCAGATGTGTCCATCAAAGGTTTTACATGTACGGTAGCTTTATGTCGTCTTTTTTTTTTTAAATAATGAAAATTTTTTTTAAACAATTAAATAAATCCCATTTTTACAGTCAACAAAATCATTACTTTGACGCCATAGCAAGCAAACACTATGGCCCGAGAAGTCATTGTTTATTGTACCATCCACACTCAAGGTTTCATGAAACAAAAACGTATCACAATCTTGCACACGCGCTCATGCAGAAACTAAACCTCACTAAAAAGCAAAATTTCGAACGTTGCAGAATTAAACAGTAAACAGCAGTAAATGTCGATCTCTGGCTTGTAGGCGCACGAGATCCTTCTATGATGTTTTCCCGCTCGTAAATTGCCACGCATGCTTTTCCGTGATCAGAAACCGAATCTCTTATTCTGTATGCACTTAAAGAGACGAGATGGTGTCTTCTTGAGCTGGTAATTGGGCGTCCGCGGACGGCAAATATGCTGCTCGGCTAGTAATGATGATGCCGTCATCGTGCTTCAAAACGCGCGGCAAGAAGCGAAGTGCAATGCAGCCGCCCTGAAAAAGCTATAACGAGGTTTCCAGTCGCTCTTCGGAACACGTTCTGCCTCCTGGCTGATTACCTGTGTCTCTCTCACACACACACACCCACCATAAATGTACAACACAACAGTCCTAACACTGCAGATGGCCGTCACGCCACGCCGTTAATCAACAAGCACGCGGCTCTCGCCCACCCACCTGCGCCTCGCGTGTTCTCATTCATGTGCGCTGCCCGATTTGCGGTCTGTGAGAAGACGCAGCCGTTAAAAAACATGCAAACACTCAACAGAGGCAAAGGCGCAGGTGTCTGCCGAGGCGGTGCTGAGGACAAAGGGAAACAGCTTGCATCACAACCCGAGCTTCTCAAACGAGGATATTTGAACGGCGCTTAGCTCATTACAAATGCAACGTATGGCCAGAAATCATCCACAGCTGAGAAATAGTCCAACACACAGTAAGGCTCGAATGACTCAAGATTTTTTGGCGTCGACTATCATGTGGTGAAAGTAGAGTTGCAGTTGATTTATCATTGACGTGATTTTTTTTTCGAGACCATAAGTGTCAAAACTATGTCCCACCGACCATATGTCTGGAGGTCCAAAGTGGCCCGTGAGCCCAGAACACAGCAGTTTTTCCCTCAAATAAACTGTTGTTGCTCATTTTGTTCACTGGGGGGCACACTGACAACTACTTGAATGACATTCTGAAATTTGTCTGTTACTCAGAATTTGACGGAAATTTAAGCTCTCGTTTTTTCTCAAGAAATTACAGATTGATTTGCAATAAGTAGAAATAGTTTCAGAAAGTGCTTGTAATTAATCCAAACAGTCAAAACAAAAAAAAAAGTAACGCTGGAGTTTATTCGTATGCAGCGTTCAATGATTCCCGGCAATTATTCAACACCCTACAAAACAGAATTCACGCCCCCGAAAAATGTTGATAATTGCCAATAGATGCAACAAGCTGGCCACAGAGCACTGTTTTCCATTAGACAAGGCTATTGTCTAACGCGGTGAAGCTCCTCCCCTCACTTCAACATCACTCATTGGCACCAAGATGCCACAAAACCGTCACCTGTACACATCAGGTAATTCTTGAAATATGCTGCAATGCTGCACAGCTACAAATAATCCACAGTCAAAAAATAAATAAATAAATAGTCCGGGGTCCACATTGATGTGTTTTGCCACACGGCTTCCTGCACACTCTCATCTTCCAAGTTCTTATTTGCATGCACACACTCTCACATCCTCCCCCCCCCACTTCATCTCCTTACCACCCGGCTGCCAACCCGCCTTCGTGCTGATTCGCTGATATGGCGAGTCCGACTTAATAAAGCTCGAAGTGCGTGTTGTCATTCCCACTGTCCATCAATGCGATTATTCCAGGGAGATCTGTAAGGGATGCCGGTCTCAGCGTGTAGGAGGCGTCAGGGTACATCCATCCGTATTATTTTATCCGTATACCCACTGGCACGCGTCAGATTGGGCGACAGCCAATCACGGATCACAGGGACAAACAAACATTCACACTTTCATTCAGAACTCTTGACATTGCAAATCAGAGCATGCAGGCTGAATTTTTTAAAAACATGTTTTAATGAATTATTACTACTGTAATATTGATGTTCATAAAAGGTCATAGATCAAAGGAAGTAAAGGGAAGGCGGAAGTAAAGAAGTTTTGATTTCTTGCTTCTCTTTTTTGAATATGTGTAATTAACCTTGATTTTTAGTTTTATTTTGTCTCTTCAGATTGTTTTAATCTCACTTTTCGGTGGTTTGGAATAGCAGTCGAGTGACACAGGAGATTATGCGTGTCTTTTTGACCAGCAGGACTTTTTGCTAGCCTTGGTTGTTCTGGATTATACTCTGCCCCACTGTCGTATGGTGTCCTGCAGGGTTCAATTTTGGGGCCCCTGTTGTTTTCATTGTATCTGCTGCCCCAGGGTACCATCCTCAGAAAGCGAGGTATTTCCTTTCACTGCTATGCGAATGACAGGCAGATTTATGTCCCACGAAGCAAAAACTTTATGGCTTCCTGTACATTTGCAAGTTCATTTTAGGATTGTCTGACTTGTCTTGAAATCTTCACGTGGTCCCGCCCCACCTTCCCTCCTTAGAGCTCTCTTTGAGACTTTATGTACAGCATTTTGTATGCAACCTTGGTTGTTTGTAAAGTGCTCTCCAAATAAAGCCGAGTCGAGTTGGGTGGTGGCGTTTTGCCAAGCGTCCTTGTTTTGATGTCACAGACAGCACGGCGAGCATCGTGGCCCGGCGGCGGCGCTTCACCCACCTGACGCAGGAGCTGTACCAGCTGCCCGTGGTGGTGTGGGACAGCGGCGAGCCGTCCTTGAGCGGCACGAGCACACTGACGCTGCACGTGTGCCCGTGCCAGCGCCACGGCAAGATCCGCATGTGCCAAGGCGAAGCCTTCCTGTCCTCGGCGGGCCTCAGCACCGGAGCGCTCATCGCCATCCTGTTGTGCATCGTCATCCTGTTGGGTGAGTTCGGCACAGGTGCCAACAATAGTCGCACGCACTCTGTACCTAAGTAGATGTTCAGTCGTTCCTGGATTTATGACCAGTGTTGCCACGGTTACCTTGAAAAAGTAAATAATTTACTTTATTGATTCCTTTCTTGAAAAACTTGATTGGAATTGATTGTGCTTGTGTGAGTGCTCTGATGCGCCGTGCGATTTGCACTACAAGTAATTATTCCTTCATGTCACTCGTGTCTTTGCCTTAACTTTATTGGAAGCCCACTTCCAGAGAAGACGTGTACATAAACTTGTGAACTGTGCCAGGTCCCCCCCACCCCATCCCCCAAAAATGCCATGATGTTATGAGAAAGAATTGCCGTCGAAAAACATCCAGCGTCAGCTCGTCTCGTGGCCCGCCGCAACATTCGGACCGGACGTGATGCGACGGAACGCGTGGTGCCAGCCACTGTCTGGGGGTGTTAGCGCTTGAAGATGATGCATATTTACGCTGGCTTTCCTCGGTCGGGAAAAAAAAAAAAACGAGAAAGATGCCAGCGGGTCGCGGCAGAGGCTTTCCTGCCAGATTGCATGTCGAATGTTGAGAGAATGTAGCCACGCTGAAACATCAGAGGAGAAAATGAATGCCGGTCACGACTTCACCAAGGTCACATTCAAGTACTTCTAGTGAGCACTTGCTCACGATAAGCACAATGCACAATAGAAATCCTCAGAGCCAACAAAATATTTATAGTCCAACAGGCACTCCCACGTATTTCAACAAAAATTGTAAAATTTTGTTGATAAAATTAATGGTTTTAAGGCTTTAAAATCTCTAAAACCCATGAGCCTGCGGCCCCCGATTTGTAGGAAAAAAAAACCCCAAATAATCCAGAGTAAAAAAAAAAGTCAATTTTGTTCCATTTCACACAATCAAAATATTCGAATAAAATTTGAAAAGCGGCGCGTCTGTTTGAAAAGCTCGACTCTGCTTATCTCGCTTTCCCCCCTTGCAATGGTGTCATCATCTTCAAGCATTGCTTATCAACAGCCAGCACGCTCGCATCGCGCATTATCCCCACGTTAGAAGGAAATCTGTTGTTTATCCATTGTCGAGACGCCTCTTATCTGTCATTTAGTAAGGAAAAAAAAAAAATCTATTTTAAGAGTTGGCTTTTGATTTTGACCAGCTGGATTCGGCTGTGCTGGGTGTGCGCTAATGGAGTGAAATGAAGTCCCTTTTACATGCGGCGCTGCCGTAAAAAGACGCCATTTATTTGAGCAGATGGTGCTCCGAACATGCCGGACATCAGAAGAAGCGCAATTTCGAAATCACCTTTCTGAGAGACCCAAACAATAACCGATGGAGGAATAACATGGAGTCATGTGACTGAACACACCATGATCATGAAAAGTAGCCATTTTGTTATCTTACACACAACCCCAAATTAGTATTTTTCAGATAAATCAAACAGAAATGTGTGAAATATGACACACGTTCATGTCCTTCGAACATCATTAATGAAATATTCTTTCCGGCCACTGGATATTTGTTGCATTGTGTCGCTATGTTTATTTTTAGTGCATTTTATTACAGCAAGCGTTGTAAATTAGCCACACTGACACCGACGAGACGCGCACGGCCGTCAAGCGGACAGCTTGCGTCGGAAGCGTCAGCCGAAGCGCGTTATCGATTTACGACTCCCCGACACGCTCGGCTGGTTTTTATTGTCCCGTTCGAAGAATCAGATAAATATAGACAAAAATAACATAAATAAATCGGCGTATGTTTACGAGGCAGATTTTGTGTGGTGAATGAACACGCCACTTCATGCCGGCATTAGCATGACCAACGCGGTAGTTGTACTTTAATGGGATTGCATCCGCTTAATTTAACACGGAACTCGTGTTAAATTTATTTATAGGACACGCTCGACAGTCTCCGAGCGAAAAAACAATAACATAAAATACAAACCCATAAAAATGTAAGACCGTGTAATGCTAATAAATGGTGATGCATTCCTGGGAAGGCGATCATTGCTTGTTTTCCCGACAACTGCCACTTTGCAAAATAGAAATAAATAGGACAAGAAGTAATCCGCGGGCAAAAATGTAATTTCGGTCAGTCATGACTGTATTGTGATCCTCCATTACTTATTTATCACAGGTGATACGTTTCAGATCAATTTATAACCAGTGATGCGGGGAATGTGATTGAAAGTGAAGCCTTACTCTAAAATATCAAATTTCTTTCCAGTAACGCCCAATTTAACGTTACTTTTTTTTCCAGTGAAGTAATCTGATTACAGATACTTCCTGTACGGCGATTGCAAGCAACTGTACGTTATAGAATACATAAGAATGGTAGTCAAGGGTGTTTATAGCCTGTGGTGAAACATTCGGGGACTTTACAATTTGCATTTCGGCCCGGGAGCGTGGCGTCACAGTATGCGTCGTCACATTTTGACCACATGAAAAATACCAGTGGAGAAAAATCCGAGATTTCAAGCTGGAAATCTCGTCAGTATTTTGAGTTGGTGTCAGCTCAAGAAAATATGAAGGTAGGTGGCCCACTTTCTGCTGTTGACAAAGTATTATCTAGCTTCAAAAATACGACCAGTATATCACATTAAAAAAAAATAAATAAATACAACAACCAACATAAATAAGTACCCGTTCAGTGAAATTGAGAAATACTTTTTTTATGAAAATAATCATTGCGTGCAAAGTCAAAAAAAGCTTGTGTATTTTATTTATAATTTTTTAAAAACTTATTAAATGTTAAAAATGTACGCCCAATTAGTATTGGCAAAACCGGTTGTCATTTTTTTTGCTAAAATGGATTTGGTTGCATCTGTTGAGTTCAACTCATGAAGTCACTTTTAATCATGAAAGTTACTTTTGCAAGGTAACTATGGCAACGGCGATAATAATGCACTTTTTAACACCTGCTCTCACTCTCCTGCTGTCAAGAAAATTGGCAATTGAGGAAATGATGAGACACGTCTCCAAATAAGAGCACAACGTGGTGCCACTCCTGAAGCCGACTATGTAGACCGGAAACTCGAGTCTCTCAGGGTCGTATCTCGTTTTGTATTCGTATCGCCTCGGAAGGCAGTACTGCGGTGACAGGGAAAATGCAAATGGAAAATTTATCGGTCGTTGACTCGTCTTCGGAAAGCGGATCCCTCAAAAAGACCAAAGCCATACTAGTCTGGGAAGGACATCCCCTTCACCGCTACTTTGCGGGGGCGGGGGGGGCTTCCCTCAGGCTGGAGATTTACAGTCGCCTCATGCTGGATAAATTGGACCAGAGACTCCTTTTGCCCTCTAGCAATAGAGTTGAAGATTTTTCACGGGTGAAGTAGAACCGGTACGTCTTTGCTTTTTTTCTGCCAACTGTCAAGGTCTCGTCTGTGTGGTGTACTTTCTCCGAAATTGTCCCGACTCTCTTTCACCCTGACCGAAAGTCAAGTATCATGAACTGAACTACTTGTAACAGGTCCCTCGCTCTAGCCCCACTTGCTGTTTCATCAATTTTTGTTGTTTGCCCTCCCACCACAGCCATCGTGGTTCTGTTCGTGACGCTGAAGCGCAGCAAAAAGGAGCCGCTCATCATCTCGGAGGAGGACATCCGCGAAAACGTGGTCACCTACGACGACGAGGGCGGCGGCGAGGAAGACACCGAGGCCTTCGATATCATCGCCCTCCGCAACCCGGCCGCCGCCGAGGAGCTCAAGTTCCGGCGGGACGTACGCCCGGAGGCCAGGCGCATGTGCGGCGGTGGACCCCGCGGCCACCGAAGCCCCTCGCTGCAACTGGACGAGGTGGACGTGCACGAGTTCATCAAGCAGAGACTGGTCGAGGCCAACATGGACACCAGCGGGCCTCCGTACGACTCGCTGCAGACCTACGCCTACGAGGGCCAGGGTTCGCCCACGGGCTCCATCAGTCCTTTGGACTCTCCGGGGACGGGAGCGCAGTCTGAGAAAGACTATCACTACCTGGACGACTGGGGGCCTCAGTTCCAGAAACTGGCAGAACTCTACGCCGAGGCCGAAATGAATATGAAGACTTAAGTGTGCCACTTTGCCCCTTCTCAGCCAAAACCAGAATGAAAATCTTTTGGAATCTTTGCTGACAAAATGAAGATCCATTGTCCAGTGGTTTTTACCCTCCGAACTGAGAATTTGTTTGTTTTTTTTTGATCCTGGCTCCTTGGTGTGGAACTACTTACAAGGATAAGATTTTCAGAAGAACGAACAACGCTATGGGGAAAAATGAAAGGGATATTTTCCTTGTGTATATTTTTTATTGCTCAATAAAGATGCGATATCCATGTGGGTGGATATTACGTGAGAAAGTGCACGCTTGGCTTCTTCCTACACAGTCTCTTCTGGATCCCATCAGGTCGGCTTCTGTTCTTTTTAATCCACGCGGCCTTTTAAACACCCGTCGACACGGGCTGTCAGCTGGACAAGTTCTCCTGTATTGTCCACGGCGTTGAAGTTAATTAAGGAGGCCTTTTTTTACAGCATGTGTGGGTTTACGGCGGGAATATTGCAACGGATGGAGGTAACGATGCTCCGTGGGGCAGTAGAGGAGGCAAAGCGTAAAGTTGGTGTCTGACGGAAGCTGGCGAGCAAATGATCCTCATCGTGAGCCACTTCGGAGGCCTGATGAAAGCGTTTAAGATTATGATTGTTGGTGTAAGTCCCAGTTGAGAAAGATTTTGCATGACTGTGTTTATCTCAAACTCTGTAGGACAGAATCTTTTTTTTTTTTTTTTCTCGATTCCAAGTCTTGTTTCTCAAAGTGTTATGTTGCTTCAGCTTTTATACTCTTGACATTTGCTTCTTGAATCTGGAAAATTTAACTGGAGCCTTGGCAGGTCCAATTGCCTAAGACCGATGGTTAGCGTTTGTTAGCTTAGCATTTGTTCAAGGCATGGGCGCAATGGCCGCTGGGAGTTTTGGAGATTGGCGTTGGGGATGAGAATAGGTGTGAATTTTGACGATCAGTCATATTTTTCTGACATTCACCAACATTTAGCTTTGTTTGTGTTTTACATTGTCCCAGGCGGCTTTAGTCAACGAAATATTTTTCGTCAATGAACCTTTTATCACGTGAGGTAAAACGAGACGAGCGTCAATGAAAATGCTGGTCACGTGATGAGACTAAATGTTTTGAAAATAAAAACTATGCAAAAAGGCTCTTAATTTTCGTTGACCAAAACGAGACATGTCGAAAACGTTAGTTTAGTCTCTTTCTCGTAGTTTTATAATTATGACGATGATGATTTACCGTGTATTTCCGTTTCCGGTTTCCGGGCGACGTCACTCAATACGGTCAAGCGGGAGCATTCGGATTTACAAGATGCATCTTCACTGCGTTCGACAAATTCAACAACGGAGAAAGCGACCGATGTCTTTGGGAAAAAAGTGGAATACTGTAACGACGTTTGGCCACACTCTTGTTACGAAGACGTGGAGGAGGAAAGGAAATGTTTTGCGGGAAAAGACGGGATGACGTCGGCTTTCGAGACAGCTGCAGACGAGCACGAACATGAAGTGAGTCAAAACTTGATTTGTTCTTGAAACTGCTGGTTATTTGATGTCAAAAATATACGTCTGCTGCACTATTGTTTTTGATGTTGCTTGTGACAACTAATCTTAAAATAACACCTCCGCGAGGTTACAGTTGCTGTTGCCGCTTATTCGGTTCAGTACACGCCAAACGCGTTGTAGTTGCAACAAGCACTTTGTTTGGATTTATGTGAAACTTGAATGGATTCATTTTTTATTTCATTGTGATGCAAGCACTTTGTTTGGATTTATGTGAAACTTGAATGGGTTCATTTTTTTATGTCATTGTGATGATGTTTTATGTAAATGGATATGAGTGTAGCGCTCACATACTTGGTTTGGAAAATAATTGTTTTGTAGAGCAGAATAATTAAAATCCCAGCGTCTTCCTTATCTGAAATGTACTGCACGTTTGGTACACGGAGCACCCTAAATTGGTCATGTCTCAAATGTGAATTGTTTTTCATGTCCTTGTTGGAATATGAAAGCAGACAAGTTCAACTTCGACGCTGCAAATGAACATCGAATTGGATAATGTCCAGGTCGTGTGTTGAAGTCTGTGGACGTTTCCACCAACCGGCTTTGTACGTTGACTGTGGAAGAACCTCAAATTGTTTGGACTTTTTGTTTGATTGCGTCGAGAGACAAGGTTGATATTTGGCCAAAAGTTGAATTTCTTTGCCTTACAAAAGCTGACGACAGTCTGGAGAAAAGAGAACCGAGCATGTGATGAATATTTTAAATCCGGCGTCTTTCTTTTCGCTTCCCACGTCCTGGTTTTGGTCTCCTGACTTTTTTTTTCCTTTCCAAAGAACGCTGTGATTGTGCCTTCTCTGAGGGTCCTTTCAAATTTGAGATCTTTGTGGTTGTGAGGGGGAAAAAAAGGCAATTGAAATAAGTGCATAACTGCTGCGCCCATGGGGACTGGTGTGCAAATTCAACATACATACGAATCCCAATTTTAGCTCTGGGCTAATTAAAATCTCGATTTGTAATGCATCATTCTGAAATGCCCGCATAAAATAACGTTGTTTTTTTTTTTAGATAATAAAACTATCTTTTACAGAATAAAAGTGAGATACCGTGAGAATACATTTAAAATATGACTTTCCTTCCTCCATAAACTTTGACTTTAACGGCATTTTAGGACTTGATCTAAAATACGACTTTAATCATGCACGATTACGACTTCCTACCCCGGAAAAAATATATCTTTCTTCTTGTAAAGAACACAACTTTTTTTTTTTCTCAGAACATTGCAACTTTTCTTCCCTGGAGAAATATCAGTTTGCGATTGAAACAAAAAAAAAAAAAGTCATCAATGGCATTAAGAGGGACGCAGTGCACTTATACTCAGTTGTCGTTAGACTTTGAGGCGGGTCCTCGAAACAAAATTCTCCAACTTAAAAAAAAATATATTAATAACCGAAGTAGACGCTGACAAGGGGCCTTTCCTGATGTCGCTTTACATTTGTGTGAACAGCTTTGCGTTTTCAGCAAAATTTAATTATCAAATGAGCGTGTTTTTCCCCACCCGAAAATCACTCCGGGCCGTAGTTGCCATGGGAAACAAAATGGCTGAAATCCTTCATTTTCTCCCTGCGGGGTAAAGAAAAGTCAATACCAAAAAAAAAAATAAAATAAAAAATCCGCTTCACTCCCTTCACACCACGTGATTTCCCCCCACCATTTTAATGCAATTAAGGCTCTATTTGATGCGATGGCACCGGCGTGACCCCGTCGAGAAGCGGCGCTGACGACATCACTTCCTGTTGACACAAGCCATTGTTCTCCTCGCACAATTTATGGAGGAGATAAACGACTCTCTTTGTGTATGTGTGTGTGTGTGTGTTTCCAAGCCTTGAGTGGGAAAAAAAGCTCATCTGTGGGCAAATAGTTGCTTGTAAATGCTAATTAAGCAACCACGCACACACAACACATTTTTTCTTCTTTCTTTTTTTTTTATTTAGCTGAGAAATGAACTCCAGCGCTAATTAATTAAAAAGCACTTGTCGAGTTTCCGCTCGGGTGCCAAGTGTGTGGAGAAACCAAGCGGGAGATAAGCGGCCCTCGCCGCCAGAGGTTTACGCGGATTAACGCGTCACTCCTGAAATAAAGATTTCATCCCCGCAAATCTATCAGAGGGGGCCGTCCCGTCAGAGGTCTGCTCACCAGAACAAGAAGTGCAGTCCAAGGTAGAAGGAAAGATTTCAAGAGCTCACGCTGGAACTTACTGGGCTCGAAATCATGAAGTTTTGTATGGAAACTTAAATGTACCGTCCTTTTTTTCCTAAATACAACAACATAGGTCACAAAAAGTAAACATCATAGTCCTAGATTTGGAATAATACTGTATACAGTACCAAAATAATAATTTGAGTGAGTTGATTTCTGTGAAAAAAAAAAAGTACAAAATGAGTTCTTGCGCTTAGTTTCCCCCCCCCCCCAACAGTTTTGTGCCATCCTTGAATGGTAATTTTTAAGAGCACCTACTTTGTCTTTATTTTAAAAAAAAAAAAAAACATTTTGTCCTACATCTGGTTGGAAGTATGTGGTCCTCTGTGCCCCATAATGGTCAAGCTGTATTCTGCCCCCAGCGATTGTTTTTCAGTGCAGTGCAATGCCCCTAGTGGTGGAAGTATTGTATTACAGTGCAGTGCAGTGCCCCTAGTGGTGGAAGTACTGTATTACACTGCGGCGCAGTGCCCCTAGTGGTAGAAGTATTATATTACAGTGCAGTGCCCCTAGTGGTGGAAGTATTGTATTACAGTGCAATGCAGTGCCCCTAGTGGCGGAGGTAGTTAGAACCACCCAAAATGTCAGTGGAGTAGCCATTTTGAATCAGGACAGTGGAGAGGAGTGATCACATCCACTTCCGTCAAGCTGATTTAGCCTGAGGAAAGTCTTTTTTTTTGGGGGGGGGGGCATCAGAACATTAAGGGTGAATTGAGTCAATCACCCGCAAAGGATCTGATTGTGGCAGAGGCCTAAAAATAGTCAAAATAGATTTGACGTGCAGGTGGCGCTATACCGTCGTAGTCAGAAGCCTCAGGGTAAGCGTGAATTTTGTATATCAGGCCAAGGGAAACCACGTCGAGTTTTTGTGTGTGTGTGTTTGTGTGTGTTTGAGGTCGGAGGCTTGGCACGCAGCTCCGGCGCCGCATCTTATAAATGTTCATGACTCCTGAGCGCATGAACATGATTTGGAAATAAACACATCAAAGACGCAGAAAAAGCCTTTCAAATGCAAGCTCGCAGCAGTCATTAGACGACTTTCGAAGGTTTGGGAGTTTTGTTTACTGCTGCAAAACTTTTTTTTTTTTTTTTTTTTTTTTTTTGGGGTGTGCGCGTGCGGTTGGAGACGGGGACTTGTCAGCATCACGTTCGTATTTGTTTTCCATTTTATTTGTCACGTTTGATCTGTTGCTTCAATGGTCGCAAAGTAATGGTTATGGTTTCAAGGCAGGGTTGGGGTTTGAAAACGATTGTTTTAAGCCGGCGCTATGATTTTTAAATCCGGGTTTCAAGCGATGGTTAGCAGTTCCAATCAGTGGTTACAACAGTGGACAGCTTATCATGCGATCAGGTTCCAGGGTGCATGAAAGGGTTAAAAAAAACAATTAGGGTTTCAAGTCAGGGTTGATATTTCAAATTAAGGTTTCAAGGCAATGTTAAGGTTTCCCATTTTTGGTCTCAAGTCAGGGTTACGGTTTCAAACTAGTTTTGTCATTTCAAGAGCTACTGTTTCTAATTTGAGTTTTCAACCTTAGGTTCGGGCTTCAA